CGCCTATCAAATTTATGGGGGACGGGGTCCGCGATTTCCTGGCGCCGTGTAGCACTGGCTGGTCGGTGTCCCGTCCTCGGACTCCTCTGACCATGTCCCCCATCTGTTCTATCTCTTCTCTCCTCTTTATTCACTCGTGTGCAGCGAGTAATTCGTCTTATACACATTTCTCGTTCTACTATTCCTTTTTAAAGACGATAGTCTTTCTGATGGACCTTCGACGCAAAAATTTTGGTCTGTCGGCCTCTACATTTGTCAGTTTGTCCACCCTTAACGGTACCCCAAACAACACGTAACGGTACTCCAAACGGCGGACTCCATCCGCAGCGCCCACCAATAATGCTCAAGTTCTAGCGTTCATACTTGTGCGATTGTCAATTCGAAAGCAATTATTGTGCATATCTGGGGCACCATAACAGCACGTCAATATTCTGTATGTGTGCATTTATACTAGACAAGGCATACATAAGTAATTCTAAGGATCGTAGCATTTACCACGCTGCGCTGATAATGCAACGCTTGCACGAAAAGGCAAGTCTTCCCAACGCTTTGCTAAGACGACACGGTGGCGGCACCTACCCATCGCCCTGCGTTCTACACCTTATCGCCTACAAGCCGCGCGCTTCGTTTTCCAAGATAAACTGCCAGATAGCGCTAATGTCTCACGCGTGACGTGACTCGATACGCTCGTTCATTTCCGCTGCACGCTCGAGGCGCTCTGACGCAGCGCCTCCAGAATACCATTCACCAATTTTTCTTGTGCAGAACATCAAATAAACGTTTTGTTCACTCTCTGCAAATGTCGTCTTTCGACGACATTTGCAGTGTAACATGCAAATACAGAAATTAGCAATTTTGTTTTCTTTTCTTCAGAACAACTTCCTACTATACGGGGGGGGGGGGGGGGGGGTCGACCTACTGTTATGTATGTTCGCGTATGCGTTTGTATATATGTTTCCGTGTATATATCGTGAGGCCCGCTCTCTGCCTTGCGATCATAGGGCGGTACAAAGATCGGCATTTAATTAGGTGTAGACCCCCCCCCCCCGCCCGCCTCTGTGTGTGTTAATGCGTGCCTGATTCGCATGAGTATGTCATAATTGTACGTATCGCGAAAGTGAGGTGACGCTTTCAGTAGAGCAAGAAAACGTAAATTAGAAAGGCGAGGGAGGTAATAATCTTCCAGGACCGGAGCGTAAAACAGCAACCATCAATTGCCTATCAGTTTCTTTTTTAACCAGTCGAACTCCTCAGGCGTCAACAATGATTGTCGCTATGTCACAACGGAAGCGTATTATGCGTAAAAGACACCTAGCGTAATGTTGAAGTACTTTGCTCGCCTTCCTTGAACATGACCCGATTCCTATAGAGGGCATTGCACGTAGATTCCCATGCAGAATCCACGGTCTTCGAATGGCTAAAGATACGCTATGACTAAGCGAACGCGCCGACAGTGCTCTAAAGCGTGAGATTTTTTTGTGTATTTTTATGGCACTTTTAGTGGAGCTTCATCTGTTATATGAGACTGCTGCTTTCGTGCACCGTCTATTATTTAACGCCCACAACGCGTTAACGTTTTTAACGCCCACACAAATGAAAAATAAGAAGTAAAAAAAAACTGGGCGCGCGCCCTGGCACAAGTGCTGATCGTCGGGCTGCAACAGTCACGTGGTTGCCACATGTTCGTACTGTGCCGCGCGGTGGAAGCTATACGCACGCGCCTCTTTTGTCAAAAGCAGGCATGTTATATTCCACGCGCTCGAAAGGTCGCGCCAAGGTCTTTTCTGCTTCATGGAGGAAAAACAACACGCTATCTTCACTTCTTACCCCATTTAACCTTATTAACTGGTTTCAACTGGATTGCAGCTGACACGAACAAAGGCGCAGCTCTTCTTTCTTACTCCGTGCAGGTTGATAAGACTTTGATATATGTGATGATTGATCGATATGTTGGATTTTAACGTCCCAAAACCACCTTATGATTGTGAGAGACGCCCTAGTGGGGGACTCCGGTAACTTTGACCTCCTGGGGTTCTTTGACGTGCACCCAAAGCTGAAGACGCATTAACATATATAAGGAGGGTTTATATGCTGAACCAGATTGATTGGAAACTGTTAAAGAATATCGCACGATGTTATCAGACATCTTGACGGCGATGACGCTGCTTATACTCTACTGCATGGCGTATCTATAAGCTAGAAGATGTTTAATCTTCAAGGTGATCAAAAGCAGTAATGATGCGGCCTACGTTCACCATATAAGGTTCATAAGGTTTTTCCGTGAACCTTCAACCCAACACACTCCTCACGGTGCTCTAGTATTAATGGTGCTCGACTGCTGAACCGAAGGTCGTAAGTACAAATCCCGGCCGCATCTCGATGCAGGGAAAGTGTTAGAAGCCCATGTACTTAAATTTAGGCGCAGGTTAAAGAGTCACAGGCGGTCGAAATTCACGGAGCTATCTTGTATGGCGCTTCTCCTAATCATATCGTGGTTATGGGACGTAAAACTGCAACGGTTATTCTTAAAACAGAACACATACGATGGTTTTGCAGCATTCTAAACGGTAAGTATATAACTAAGGTGAAATCTGTAAAAAGAGCTATACTTTCCCTACAGCGCCCACATTTTCAAAGAGAGATTCGCTTCGTCAGGAATAACTGGGTTGCGTTGACAGCATGTCAGTGGCGCCCGAGCCAATCGCTGAAGACGAGAATACGGTCGGTACCCGCACATAACGAATTATCGCGTATATCGAACAGCTGCAAAATCTCTTTGGACATATTCTCGATATATAAGATATTTCATGTATCGTACAACCTATACACAGAACTATTATGTGGTCTCCTTAAGGCTTGATGTGTACTGGTTCGGCATCAATGTAACAAGGACCGAATAGTAGCGAAATACGGTTACAAAATACAGATCGTGACCATATACGAGCTTGCGATCTTTAAAACTTCCCTGCGGAGGCCGCATTTTTCACGAAGGCGAAAATGCTCGAAACCCCCGTACATAGATGGAGCTGCACGTTAAAGTGACACTTAAATTAAGAGGGAAAAATGCTCTTCCAGTATTAGTAAAGTGCAGTTTCACGGTCCCGAAAACACCCCTCTTACCGCCAGGCAACGCTTGGCAAGCGAAAAGACGCGCAAAAAGAAAACGAGGGTAGAGACGCCACCGTGAGATTCCCGCACCAAATACCGTGACGTCATAGATTCTCACGGCGTCTACTTGGTCTTACGTACATTATAATCGATAAAAAAAAATGAAGTACATTATGACCTGTGGGTGCCATACATCTAACATACCAACTTCTGAAAATTTTCGTCGAACGCAGTCGCGAAACTGCGAAAAATACATTATCGAATTACTGACGTCACACGCGGAGTTTAAAGCGCAACATTCAAAAGTGAAACTTCAACCTTGATTTGCTCCGCTACTAATGAACTTCTGACATAAGCGTTCTCAGTGTACAGTTTATGAAACTAAACCAAGTTACTGTGTAACTTTAGTTACCATTTGAAGAACCTCAGGTGGCGAATTTCCGGAGCCCTCCACTACCGGGTCTTTCATAATCATATCATGAATTTGGGACCTTATACCACATACATTATTATATATTGTTTTTAAACTTCCCGCTATGCAATATCTGTTCGTACCGCACTTGCGGTAGATGGCGCTATAGGCCATTTGACTGCGAGCTTCGGGTATGGTGGCTACCTTGGAAGGTCAAGTTTTCTGAATAAATCTAAAGGCATGTGCTTCTCTACGGTATAATATCGACAGAAAACTGTAAACAACTTGTCCTTGCGTACATGCACACTGTGTAGTTTTGTGATTGCGACAACGTTAACTGCGCTGTAGTGTGATGTTCCACATTTTCATCGCTTTTTTTTTTTAATAAATGAGCTCGAAATAGCATTCTGACAAACGGAACGCTTGTGTTTAAGGAACACGACAAAAGTGGTAATGATATGGCACGCCGGGGTTACGTAATGCTCAGAAGATTTTACTTCCGAACCTTCGAATCTCCCTTACACAACAAAATACATAGCAGAAAAAGTTGCGTGGTTTGTCTTAAAACAAGTACGAGCGAAACATTCATATCAAACTTTGTATATCGTTGATTGAGAACGTGCGAAAGGTGCTTTGAAAAAATGCGGACGGTAAAGCCATGTGCCACATGAAGGGAGTCGTGAAGTACGATCAGCCTCAGGTAGTAAAAAAAAAAAGAAAGTGTCGATAACGCGGAACCTGCCACCACATTGTGGTCATGACGAGTTAGCGCAGCGAGGTAGCGCAACGAAAGACGCAGCAACACGCAGGTCAGTACAGCCGTGAGCAATATCAGAATGAACAATGAAACGTAGAAGACAAAACGGCTAAATGCAATGTACAAGTGCAAAAGTGCTAATAGCACTAAATGTTCAAACGGAATGCAATTCAGTACTTCACATTCGTACCAATACAAGTAATTATTTATTAAGCACCGTGTTCCCTTTCGTATTGACTACGACTGTACCTTGTGTCATCCGACAACAGAACAGCGCTCTGCGGTTGAGTACCAGAACGAGCACAGAAGGCGTAGAGCACGAAAGCAAATCAAGCTCCAAATGCCACTGTCATATCTGATGATGTCCCACTCGGAAAAGACCTCCCAGCAAACCACGCACCTTCACTGCTCGGCCCAACGCACTAGTAGCAGCGCGCTCGGTGAGGTAAACCCCGATCGAAAGCGAAAGAAAAGCAAACATCCAGCGGCAGAAGCGAAAGAAAAAGATATACAACGCGAGAGCGCGATGATAGCTCGTGCCAGTTGAACGTCAGGCGTCGATCGATTGGTGTCCATCGTCATCAGCTGACCGCCGGCGCGTCACGGCAACTGAGGGGGCGGGGCGCCGCTAGCACGCGCTCCTCGCGCGCGCCCGTGCGATCATTACACCCGCCGGCACCGAAAGGAAGCAAATCGTACGGACAGCGGGGGTGTTTTACTCACCCTTCGAATCTCGCTCGCCCTGGACGGAGTGGGACGCTCGGTAGACGCCGGAGGAGGCCCGTTGGCGACGCTGGCGTTGGCCATGCTCGACGCTGGAGGCGGAAGCAGGGGCGACGGAGGTGCGGGCGGGAGTCCGTACCGCTGCTGCGACGTCTGATGATGCTGTTGCGACACAGCCGGTAGTAGGGGCGGCGGCGAAGCCACCATTCTGACACCGCTCGTCAGATCCAGCTCGTTGAGCGAGTGCACCAGCACAACACTGCTCGCTGCGCGAACCGATCAGCAGCAGTCGGTGGCTACGACAAAACTCCACTCCGGCGGCAGCAGCAGCACCGTCGACTGCATAGGCGAGGGTGTTATTGCTGCGCAGCAGGAGGGGTGGCAGGGAAGGGGGGCGCAAGCCGCGAGCACCGAGCCAGCGCCGACGGTAACGGAATGCCCGGCGCGTGATGTCGCGGCGCGCAGGTAGGCTCCTCTCTCCACCAGCGATGCGGAGAGGAGAGCGCGTCTGTCCCGGAGGAACCGACTCCTATTACTCGCGTACCCCCTTTTTCTCAGCAACAGGCAGCGACCGCCGAGGGGGCGATTGAAAGGAGGAGGGGGGCGAGGGGTGGTGACTAGGCAGCCTGGCATCGAGCGTGGGAACGGAGTCTCGCGCGCGTCGCGCCAGCCGGCCACGCACGCACGCAGGCCAAGCCTGGCGCGACCCGACACAGCCGCGCGCCGCCACGCTCGGCAGCGCTGCCAGGAGTTCCGCCTTTCGGTGCCGAGGAGAAGAAGGGAGCCCGCCAAAAAAGAAGAGCGCGACAAGACGTGGGATCGCGCGCGCGCGCGCTCAACGCGCGCCGGCGCGCACACTCCTCCTCTCCACCGCTCTTTGCTGCCCGGTTCTCCTCCATCCTCCAGATATCAGCCCCGTCGGTCCTGCGCACAGCCTCTTCGCTTCTTCCCAGTGTTTCTTGTTCTTTTCTTTTGCGCTTGGGAGTCTCCAGAAAAGGGAGGGAGGCCAGCAGAGCCGATTTCCATTCCACCGCACTACGCATTTATACTTGAGGTCAACGAGAGAGAGAGAGAGAGAGAGATTAATGAAAGAGGAAGAGACAAAAAGGACGCTATTTTCTGCCTCCCGTCGCGGGGGCACGGCTCAGCGCCTTTAGGGATCGGGGAAGGGGAAGTAAAGATGATAGGAAGAAGAGAGGAAGGAAAGAAAAAGTGAATGTCATGGCAAGAGAACGTCTTGTCAGTACAGTCAGTAGTGCGAGTGAAAAGAGTCCGTCTATAAGGCGGCGAGGTCCGCGCAAGCACAGAACTCGAGGAAGGCTCGAAGGGCTTTCGTCTTCGAGCGCGCGGGAAAAAGTATGTCTTCCATTGTTTCGGCAGGTAGTCCAAGCAGACGATAGCGGCTTACCAGTGCGCAACGCTCAGTGGCCAGGTCAGGGCAGGAGCAAACAATATGCTGCAGCGTTTCGTCATCACCGCACCTTCGGCACGCTGGCGATGAAGAGCGACCAAGGTCAACGATGCGTGCACCGTCGCGCGCTGCTACAGCGGCCTCCTCCTCGCCCTCGAGAGGACCCCGTGCGCCGCCGTGTGAGAATCGGCTAGACGCTGCGTTCCCACACTCAGGCGTTTCTCCTGGCGCGCGCCTGCTGAGGAGAAGGAAGCGGGGGGGGGGAGAGCCGCAAGAACGATAGAGAACGCCGTGGCAGGCGGCGCTGGCTTTGCTTATTGCTGCTGTTTGCTGCTGCGAGGGTTATTGCTGCTGCGGCTGCCAGCCGCGCAAGGTTTCGGCACATTCTAACCACCTCTCACTCTCACCGCGGTGCAACCCAGCCAGCCGAGCCTTCTCTGCTGCTATGTGCTCGCGCGCGTGCCGTCGCTAGACTGGCTTGCCTCCCTCCACTGCGGGGCTGCCTCCTCCTTCGTCATGTCTCCATGCTTTGCCGTTCCTATTTCGTTCTTTATGTGCCGCTCTCTTCTCGTGACGTCTAGCGCGATGAGGGGGGGGGGAGATCCTTTGCCCCAATCACTTTCTTCTCCGGTCGCTCTGTTTCTCGCTTTTCTTCTGCGCGTGTTTGTATGCACGCCTTCTGTGAGGGGGGAAGTAGTGGAACCAGAAACAAGCCGTTCTCTGTGATCATTTGGCTCTTTTCCTTCTTGCGTGCTCGGTTTCTTAACCCTCCATCTCCCTCCCTAAGCCATCACCACGATGGCATCGCTGTCGGTGTAAGGGTGGTATTGGAAAGCAATAGGCGCACGCGTTCGTGTGCTGACCTCCAGCTGACGGGAGCAACGGTAAAATAGAAGGGTGAGATAAAAGAGGAGTTTATCTCCTTGCAATCACGGTGACTCATGGGAGCTGAGGACCCAGCCAAGGCGCTGTTGTGCCAAGAGCCCCATCTGCGCGGTACTTGTTCCCGTGTGGACGGCTGCAATGGTTGCTGCGCCAAATTGGTGATACAAAATGCAGTCGCTCCTCAAAGAAGGCGTTGTTGGTCACAGTAATCTTCTGGGCTCATCGTCTGCGTCGCGTGCAGTCATCCGACGGAGTTCTGTGTCGCCAGAGATAAGTGAACGAGGCGTGACAAAGTAAAAAGCAGTCCTGAGAGTCTTGTCTCCCTGGCTCTGTGCCATAGTTGTGTGTAACACGTTATTACTTGTGATAAATTAGATTTTATTGTAAATTCGTAATACAATGCATTAAAAACTGTAACGTTCTTGGTGACGTAATTCCGTTTTGTGCAATTGATTACCAGCAATTAAATCTTCTTTTTTCATAATTCATGTTGCAACCAGTCCTCCGCGGAAATTCTCGCCACGAAAAATATGCGGCCACTCAGTATGGACACCTTCTTGTTAGACGTGGGCTCCCTACAGGCATGTTTCACCCTTTTTCTTGGCATTATCTGCAACGCTTGACCAAAGTGCCTGCAACAGCGAAGCGCAACGCTTCATAGAGGACATGGACACTATCATCGAAGCACGTGCCAGCTACAGGCTAGTGCGAAACGTATTCCTGCGTTATAATACCGCCATTCCCTCCAACGGCATGCGTTGAGAGAGTGTCCAGGGTAGCCGCTGACCTTTTAACGAGTAAACGTGCGTTAATCAGTAGCGACATTATTTTTCTTAAACAACTTCTAACCAAAGTCAGCAACGTGTGTTTAGAAAAAGTGGGTAACGATTTAGTTTACTAGGTACACTACAATGGGAGAGCACAAAGCCGTCCCGAGAACATCAGTTTAAGTCTCAATTGTGCTTGAAGAAAGAACGTGTACCTATATAACAGAAGCCACAATAAGTCTTCCAACATTGGCGCAAGCTTTCAGCCTTGTTTTTACCACGCAGGCCACAGTGACTTCTTGTAGTTTGAGCAAACTTGTGCTAATGTATTACGGCAATGAAACTTTGCGGGTAAATGACACAAAAGTAATCAACTACATTTCTGTCATTGCATAGTTTATTTTGTTGGACAGTAGTTGACTGCTGTAATCAATTCCACTTTAATGGAAGTAATCGCAGTTGTAATCGGTCAGGATTCTATCGGTTAGGTCTAAACAAACAAAAGAAAAAACGCTCCGAACAAGAATAACAAATTCCCTTTCTGTCGTTCTACCAAAGGGCTCAATATAGAAGAGAAAACGGCGTCAGATGGGTTGCAAATGACTCCCTTTTTGTTTTTCGTTTTTTTGTTTTTTTTTTGGGGGGGGGGGGGGGGTAGTTCCTCTATAGTAGTTTACACTTCGTTTCTATACGTTTAGACAATACGGACTTCCCCACAACGGTGTGCCTCGTATCGCGTCGCGGCTTTGACACCGTAAACCCCGAAATTTGTTACGAACTTGTGGGCCTGTGCCTGGCGAACCAGTTGGGTTGAGCGACATTCCGGCCGGAGCTTCTCGGTAACGCGGGGTTGCCGCTTTGATGCCGCCCTTTCTCTCGGAACCGGACCTCCGAGAGTCGCTGGCGCGTAGCTTCCGTTCCGGGCGCATCCATTAGGTCCAAAGTTCCGGCTATGAAAGCAGTGTGCGTCTAGCTGCTTCTGCCATGACCGCAGTCGCTCACTTACAGCGACATCCGCTTCGCCAGTTTTTATAAAACTGGTCGCGAGCGCGTAGCCAGGCGACTGTGTACACACGAATGCGGTGATTCACCCGTAGACGGAAGGAGCGACGAATCAACGCACGCATAGGGACAGACACGTCGTGGTTCCCGTCGTCGTTCCCATTATAACCTTATGGCGCACTAGACCGGCCGTTTTAGAACACTCCGGACGCTTCGAAAAATTTTATCTAAAGTATCGACTAAACATTACTGCCGATAATCTGGCCCATACGCGATAAAGAGGAGCATGACTTGCGTACCTGCTTGTACACGTTGTAAAGCTTTAATCCTGTCGTGTTTAACACCTCTAAACACCGTCAGAACGCTCTGGAACGACCACCAGAATGTGACATAATAGTTTACTGCGACATACCCAGATGGTGCTGCCGTCCATACGACTTTGATTAAAATTATGATCTGAAGTTTTTCTTGCCAACCTGATGATATCGTAGGCGTGCGGATGGTTTTCCCTTCGTTCGCACTTACATGGCCTTCGCATGTTTTGCACTTGCTGTAGAGTGCATGAAAGCGCGTTGCCGCAACGCGCGAGTTTTCTTTTTGGGTAATATTCGGTTTTCTTTGCTTTTCTGTATGATTGTATAGGGCCTAGCTAGAGTAAAGCGGCAGATTATTCCCCGAAGTTGTGGATCAGACAGAGTTCCGCTGATCGCATAGTTTCGAATTGCCTCGTTATGTCGCAACTCGCAAATTCTCCAGGGAACAGTGATAAAACGGCACTAGGAGAAAAATTCATTGCCCCATTAAACAGGGCCTCATAGCATGCATTGGTGAAAAAAAGGAAAAGAAAAAACCCTTAATTCTGGCTTCTTTCAGCTTCCTACTTTTTTTCCTTTAGCCTTTTTTTTTTTCTTCAGAAAATTGATAGCCTCCTTGCACATGTTAGCGAGATGCATCAATTCGCCCAGCGACAAGTAGCTTATTACCAGGCAGGAGGCCTTAAAGAACGGCACTAATGTGTCTGACATTTATTTATACGTCGTCAGATATTATCAGGGGCCCGAAAGCTTCATTCTGAACAGAATTAACTACACCTTAAGTAGTTCAGCCTTTTTTTTTTTTACTTGTGAGGTCACCAATACATAGATCTCATTTACAAAAAAATCCTTGAACTAAAGTATCTTAGCCACCAGGTCACATATGCTGCCTGCACGCTCAAACAAGGGTTTCCGTCTTCTGTGCTGACATGCAACGCGTGACGGAGGTGCAGCCTAAAATTGACGATGCCCCACTAGGCCCCCCTCAGGTCAACATCTTCGACCAGTGCATGACTCTTCCCTCTAGCCTCAATACTGGAACTCGATAACAAGTATAGAGAAGGCAAACCACGCGATATTCCACAGTGACCTTCCTTGTGAGTTTGACTCGAGTTTACGGTGTCAAACTTTACGACGCGTACAGCGTCCCATCTTCGG